TCCTGAATTTGTCCTGAATATTTCATTGAAAGATTCGAAATATTTCAATGAAAGGTCCATGAAATTTTAATGCAAGCAATGAAATGTCCGCCTATAAGAAATATTGCAGTTCCGATTGTACGAAAAATTTCAGCGAAATGTTGAGGAAATGTGAGGATGAAAAATTACTGACATATTATTTTTTAATATTTGCAAAATAAAAAAATGAAATATGTTACAAATTTTTAAGTGAAATATTTTGAAAAGATTATTCATTCAAATTCTAGAAATATCAAAAGGAAATATTTCTAAATTGTTAAAAATACATATTTAGGCAATAAGATCCGGATATATTTGTGAAAAATAAAAAAATGAGTTACAGAAATAAATTGCGGTAGTGATTGTGAAAATATGTAACAAAATTAGTTGACCGATAGTAAACCTTTGTAAAAAAAAAAAAATTTTCGATAATAATGCCTTTAATTATAACTTACAAATGAATCTTAAATTTAATATATCTCAAAATGTCTTAAGGCCAGGTCCAAGTCGAGTCAGCTGTTCCTTTGAAGTTTCAATGGAACAGCTGACACGACTTGGACCTGGCCTTAAATCGACGTATGATGTCTTTCCGGCGATCGGTTCATATGTACCTTTTGTCATTTGCAATTTTAGACAAATTAAATTTTAAACATTTAAATACTCTGAAAAATAGAAATGTTATCAAATGACAATTCTGCGAAACAAATTTTTTGTTCAATAATAATTATGCAAGAATAAGAATTCAATTAAAAAGTTACGAATATTGAAAGTCCAGTCAAGTAAAATTTGTAACAAATTGAGTTTTATAGTATATTCTTGCGTACCTGAGCGGATCTTATTTATTTTAAGTATTCTATTTTTATACTTACTGTTCATATATATTAATCATGTTTCGCTTGTTGCAACTTACGTGTAATAATTTCTTTATAATAAATAAATTGTCACTATTTAACTAAATACTCAAATTTTGTCACATATTTTCACAATCACTACCGCAATTTATTTCTGAAATTTATTTTTTTTATTTTTAATAATTTTTTTTTTAAGTTATTTTTAATTTCAAATTATAACACTTACGAAAAATTAAAAATTTTTGAAATTAAGTCAATTTTAAATAAATAAATTTGTAAATTTAAAAAAGTGTTTTATTTACACAGAAATATTCAAAAAAATTTATTTTTCAAAAACAAATTTTGTGCTAAATTCTGCTAGACAATACAACTATTTTTATATAGTCAATAGAACCTTTTAAATTCAGTTGAGGACGAGGGGGAATTTACTAGTAAAAATTTTGTACACTTGACTACAACTACACATATTACCATTATTACCTTAGTATTACACTTTTTACAAGTATCACATACTCCTACCAAAATATTACTGTATTACAAAGTATTACACGTATTACACGTCAAATAGCATTTTCTTACACGTATAACTTACAACAAAATTACTTAAAATTATTTATTTAAAAGCAAAACTTTAAAATGAGAAATAAATAATTAAATATTTTTAAATATTAGGGTAAGTGCATCAATTACGGTGCGTTCATAAAAAAAACTATCATTACTATTATATTTAATATAACTGTTGCAAAATAATTTAAAAAAATTATTTTAATCTTTTTTTGATACAATTACTAATGCAGATGCACATGGGCGATTCCACGTGAGATTTATAGTCGAGGTTTAAAATTCTAGTAAATATATTTTTTCCTTATTCTTTATGAAAAAAAAGAGACACCTATTTTTTTTTTTTTTTTATGGTCAAATTTTTGAGTTACGAATTTTCAAAATTTTGTTCAGTCAAAAGCAGACACAGAAAATTAAAATGCATTAAAATAAGCTGCAACGCTTCTTATTTTAATCCAATTTTGCTTATTTTAATACCAAAATGGATTAAAATAAGCAAAATTGGATTAAAATAAGAAGCGTTGCAGCTTATTTTAATGCCTTTTAATTTTCTGTGGACCTATTTTCAATTAAGAATAGCTCAAAAACTATTGTATTTAGAAAAATTTTGTAAAGACATAAAAAATTTATTTTTTCTTCGACTTTTTAAAAATGTTAACAAAAAAAAATCTAATTTTTTTTATAAAAAAATATTAATTTTTTATAAACAAATTAATATTTTTTTTATAAAAAAATATTAATTTTTTATAAACAAATTAATGTTTTTTACATTTGGGCCCGATTTTTTCTTTTTTTTTTCGTATACCTACCTGGAAGTGTTAAGAAGACTTTAGAAAAGGTTTCAGAGTGGGCCTGATAAGTTTAATAAGTTTAAATAAATATTTAAACTCGGATTGCAAGCTTAATGCGCGCGCGGTGCTTTGTGAGTCTATCTAGTTTGAAAAGAAATTTTCTTTAAGAGGCATTTTATATTATTTTAACTTGTTACATCTGTTTATTACAAAACGGATTTGTTAAAACTTTAAATATAAACATATTTAAACATTTCAATTGTTTATACGATTAATTAAATAGTTAGATTAATGAATTTTTGTTTTATTCAATTTTTACATATCACAATATTCGAAAAGAATTGTTTTTCAAATATTTTCACAAAAACACATATAATAATAAGCACAAAAGGTAAAAAAAAGTTATAATTATTTTAAAAATATAATAGGTATTTTAAAAAAACATTTTGAATCTACAGTATAGAATTATTAATATATATATAATATTATTTATTTAAAATTGACTTAATTTCAAAAAATTTTAATTTTTCGTAAGTGTTATAATTGTTTCTCTTTGTGTTCGGCAGTTTTAATTTGTGTAATAATTCTTTTTAAATATATGAATATTTTAAAGCACTTAAAACATTTCTTGACAATTTTGCAATGCAACTATTGCGAATAAAATTTTTATTATACATTTTAAACATGAAAAAGGAAACAATGATAAAAAATATTTTTCTTTTATTCTACACCACGGTGCGCCAGAAGGAGGTTTAAATAAAAATGAATTGGCACTTAAAAATTCTTTTTGATTATGGTTCTAAGATGAAGAAAAAACTTTTCTCAATAGGTTTTAAAATCAGCTTACGTGCCCAATTTAAAACAAATTGAGTTTTAAATATTTAAAAATAGTGTTTTATGAGGAACCAGAATTTATTTAATGTATACTTATATACGTATAGATTATAAATGTTTTAGATTTAGGTTCATATAAATTTATTAACAATTAAGTTATTTTCTTGTTTCGTTTTTATATTTATGCATTAAGAGTGTCGAACGGTATCTGAAATTCTTTGGCAAGAAGAGAGCTTTAATTATCGCTCTGTACGTGAAATAGTATTGATTTTAAAATACTTTTTTCTCGAAACACGAACACTTTTAACAAAATCAGCCAAAATCCTCATCTTATAAATTTCCTAAATCCAAAAGACTGTACGAATCCATAGAAAAACATGGTTGCAAAACAAAAAGTAGAAAAGTAATCTAATAACAGCTGCGACTTTGTGCGCCCTGCATGCTGCTGCTATCTGACGGTGGCAGGAGGTAATGAACCCTTCATTATATTACTTTTCGTTTTGCAATCGTGTTTTTGTATGGATTCGTATAATCTTTAGGATTTAGGAAATTTATATAAGATAAGAATCTCTAGCTGCTTTTGTAAAAAGTGTCCGTCTTTCGAGAAGAAAGTATTTTAAAATCAATGTTTATCATTTTCACGTTTAGTGCCGTTTTTATAGAGCAATAATTAAAGGTCTCTTCTTGCCAAAAAATTTCAGAGACCATTCGACTCTCTTAAATAAATTTTGTCACTCTTAAAATCGTTCTTTTAATATTATAATTTAATTTTTTAAAATTGGACACAAACACTACAGCAATATAATTATTTATATGTAAAATTGAAAATAAGTAATTATTTTATCATTTATTACAGTATTTATTAGATTAAATAAATTCTGATTCCCCATAAAACACTGTTTTTATATAAAAACTCAATTTTATTTAAATCGGCCATTTGCAACTTCGAACAAATGTAAATTTGCGTCATTTTAAGAATTTTCTATCAAATTACAATTTGGACAAATAAGGATTCGGTAAAGTAGAAATTCTGGCATTTAAAAATTCGAATCACTTAAAATTCTGTTGAATGAGAATTTTGCTAAAAAAAATTAAATTAGACTTTTTTAAATAAATAGTTGGATAAAGATAAATTCTGTGAAATAAAAATTCGTTTAAAAAGAAATTCTGTCAAAATGTTAATTCGAAAAATAAAAATTCGTCTAAAAAATAATTTTAATATTATTTCAAATTAAATCAGTGAGAAAATTCTTCTAATTTTCAGTGACTTACTTTACGATTTCAATTAGGAAAATGTAGGTAATTTTTCCATTAACAACAAATTTTAATCTTTCTTCACTGTATTAGTATAAATCATTAGAAACTGACTGCATGCATATTCACTTATGATTTTTCTTTAAAATTAAAAGACAAAGATATACACTAAAAAAGCCAGAGTAATTTTTGCACTATTTCAAATTTGGAAAATAATTTATAAATTACAATTTTTCAGATTCTGCAGGCTTCATATTCGACATTTAATATCTTAAAACATTCTGTATAAATTTTTTTTTGTGAATTTCTAAAAATTATACGCAAATGAATTGTGAAAAATATATATTTTCATATAAATGATTTTACTGTTAAATTTATTTTATCTTACATTTTCTGTTATTTAATCAAGACGATATAAATTCAGTAAATTGACATTATATTGAATAATAAATATATATATACATTCAGTACTAAGCAAATATAAGAAAATTACCTTCTTGTATTATAAAATAGCTATATCTAGAATAATAAGGGTTGATTCCTGGGAAGTCTATAATCATCGATTGAAATTATTATAAACAGATGCGACATTAAGTTTTTTCTTTTGAAAATTTATGGAGATCAATATATTGAAAGAAATTCATATACTAAAAAGCATCATTCAACTAGAGAACTTTATTTATACAATTGTTCTTCTTTAAGTAAAAAAAATTGAAAATGAAAAAAGTCCCTAAATACATTTTTAAATAAATATATATTATTTTCAGCTAAAAGTATATAGAATAAAGATAGAAAAAGTTTATAATGTTGGAGAAAAGCAATGAAATGAAGAAAAGAACAATTAATGATATTTTATGGGAAACATTCTTGTTAATTAAATTTTGTGGCCTATGGCAACCATTTAATCTAAATTATCCCATTTTAAAAATAATTTATATTTTTTATTCAATTTTTACGATATCTACTATGATTTCAGTTGGATTGTCACTTATTTGTTTTATATTTATTTCATCCGAAAGGATCAAAGATGCGATTATTGAAAATTCATTTTTACTATTTACATTACTTAACGGTTGGGTGAAAGCATTTATATTTTTATCCAGACATAGAGGTATTAAATCTTTATTGAAAACATTGCTGGAGGATCACTGCCAACCTCAGGACATCACTGAGCTTGAAATGCAAAAGAAATTTGATGAAGAAGCCAAGTATGTAGGATGAAAATTTTACTTTTGAGATTTTCATATTATAAAATTTTTATCTTACCAACATTTTTTTTTTTGTAATCTTTATAAAAAAAAATAAATATTTTATATATAGAAATCGAAAAAAAATTGTTTCAATTAAAACATTTCACGTGAAATGTCCCAATAGTGAGTTATTGCGAATTTAATAAATTTCTTTACTATTGCAGAAAAGTAACATTCATTTATATAACCATAGTTATAGTGGGTGTAATTTCCTACTATTTTTCAATATTGATAAGTGATGAAAGAGTACAAGCTCTTAATACTTGGCGACCTTATGATATTAATTTAAAACTACACTTTTGGATAACATGGATTCATGAATTAATAGGTCACATTGTAACATCAAGTGTTCATGTGGCTGTAGATTCATTGGTACCTGGATTTATTATTCAAACTTGCTGTCAATTACATTTTTTGCAACATCGATTAAATAGATTTCCTTTAAAAGTGGAAAATATCCAAATGACTTCTAATTCTATTAAATTTAAACAAAAATTTGAGTCAACCTTTATTTCAAAATCTGTTATACATCATAATACAATATTTCGGTAAAATGAAATTTTAATATATATATATATTTTTTTTTTCTAAATAAATATATAAATTTTTTTATTATGAAAAACAGGTTTGCGGAGAACATTAAAAATTTATTTGTAGAAATACTTTTGGCACAATTTGTTTCAAGTTTAATTGCCATTTGTGTAACTATGTATAAAATTTCAAAAGAACCATTGAATTTTGGAAATATGATTGCATTTTTTACGTTTTTGATTTGTATGTTGACGCAACTTTTCTTTCATTGTTTTTATGGAAATGAACTAATGTTTAGTGTGAGTATTCTCTAATAAGGCTAAATTTCAACTGAAAATAAATTTTAATATTTTTTCAACTTTCCTTTGGTTCACCATTATTTTCTTTATGGGGTAAAATTCCTGTAGCGGACTAAGTCAAAAAAAAGTTGCTCAGATCGTGATGTAACTTACACATTGTTTAGCCCTATGGGTGAAAACCTTAACCACGAAGTATTGTTAGGTTTTATCAAAAACTGTTGGAGGGGAAGGGGGTTGAATTTTTTTGAAAAAATGAAGTTAGGGATATTTAATTTGTTTTATTTTGAAAATTCTGAACATTTGCATCACAAAAGTCAATATCTTTAAATATCATAAAACCGATTTAAATAAATAAAATTGAAAAATCAATCATAAATTAAGCATCACTTCTTGGTGAACCTCTAATTATAATAGTTTGAATTTTGGCGCCTTTTTAGATAGTACTAAAAGTTGTCACAAGATGTCATGTTTCATATTTCTCACAGTAAAGATGAAAGTTATGATATATATAAGAAAAGGTCACGATTGCATAATTTTTGAATTCTTTAAGAATAATATTCAATCCCAAAATTAAATTAAAGAATATTATACTTAAAAAAAATTTTTTTAAAGAAACTTAAACCTAAAAAAATAATAATGAAAAAAAAGAAAAGACGCCAACGTTCAAGTTGAATATCAAAATTATTTCGAAAATAATAAAATTGAATACGCTTTCTATACGTAATTATTGAGAAAGAACAAAGATAATTCAATACAAACCTAAGTTGAATATATTCTTAAAGAATTTAAAAATTATGCAATCGTGACCTTTTCTTATATATATCATAACTTTCATCATTACTGTGAGAAATATGAAACATGACATCTTGTGACGACTTTTAGTACTATCTAAAAAAGCGCCAAAATTCAAACTATTATAATTAGAGGTTCACCAAGAAGTGATGCTTAATTTATGATTGATTTTTCAATTTTATTTATTTAAATCGGTTTTATGATATGCATAAAGATATTGACTTTTGTGATGCAAATGTTCAGAATTTTCAAAATAAAATAAATTAAATATCCCTAACTTCATTTTTTGAAGAATTATTAAATTTTTGAAAAATTTTCAATCACATTTTATTTAATTTCTCGAAAATAACAAAAAAGGACATCTCAGAATTTTTTGTAGTGAAAATACACATTTTTAACTTAAAAAAAAAAAATAAAAAAAAAAGGATCGAAATCGAAAAAAAAGTCAAAAAAATTTTTGATTTTCAAAAAAAGGGTCAAATTTTAAATTTTTTGAAAAAATTTTTGCACCATTCGAAAGAGCAAGAAAAACCCTTTTGAAAACATATAGGTCAAATTTTTTTTCATCCTATTGTTTAAAAGTTACAAGTCTTCAAAAATTCGCTGTTCAGATTTTTCAAAAAAATTCAACCCCCTCCTCCTCCTACAGTTTTTGATAAAACCTAACAACACTTCGTGGTTAAGATACTCACCCACAGGGCTAAACAATGTGTAAGTTACAGCCCGATCTGAGCAACTTTTTTTTTGACTTAGTCCGCTACAAAAATTTTACCCCTTATATATTTTAACGACTTAGTGTTAGATACGAGGGGATATTCACTAAGGAAATCAGAAATCGGTAGAGGTAATCGTTGGAAGATTTCCATACAGATTTCTAAGATTTCTACGCGATTATCAGAGATTTTCAGTGACTGCCTATATGTATTTAAGTTAGTGAAATATAACTTCGGATGAGCTCGGAATTTTTAATTTTAAAAAAAGTATTTCTTTAAAAAGAATGTCCGCGGGGAATGTACATATATAAATAAATAAGAATCGTGTATCATAAACGTGACGTATTTAAGTTTCTTTTTTTAATCAGGCTCTAAAAGTGCTCTATAAAACAGAGTTGGTTTGGGGCACGTTATTTCGATAGGGTAATTATAATACAAAAACTCATTTTATAATAAGTGGAAAAAACTTTAGTGCTTCGTTTTTATACATAACTGTCTTATTTTTATATTAGAAAATTGATTATAATTATAATTTGACAGGGAATACAACATAACCTCAAAAAGTAATATCTATATATTTACGTAATTTTAAGTTAATTTAAAAACTTTTTCTTAACGGTATGTTAAAGAAATTAAATATTTTTTATTTACGATAGATCTGAGGATATATCAATATAATAATAACAAAAAAATAATATCAATACAAATTATAATACTAATATAAAGTAAGATTTGTTGTCAATAAACTGTCAATAATACTTCGGAATTGCTCGGGTTCGTTCGCCAAATATCGGTTGCGCAGTTAAAAGAACGAAATCCACGATTTCTGCCGGGATTTCCCGAGATTTCTATTGAGATTTCCTGAGATTTCTGTTAAGATTTCCTAAGATTTCAACAAATTACTAAGATTTCTTAAATATTTTATTAATGCTAAGATCAAGAAATCACAATTTCCTTCAGTGAATATCCCCTCGGTTAGATATTGAATCTGTTGTTCTCATTTTTGCAGACGATGTTAAAATCTTTCGTATTATTCATTCTCCTTTAGATACAATTACTTTTCAATCCGATTTAAATAAAATAGTTTTATAATCTAAAATTAATTTACTTCCATTAATCCCTTCGTTGGCATTGACGCGTTTACGCGTCAAACATTCATTTTATATATATATATATATATATATACCATTTCGTGTCAAAAACGAAACCCACCGTACGGATTTGCTTCAAACTTCCCATTCGGAGGTTTTTGGAATCGCTTTTTATGAATCCGATGTTAGTTTTTCAAAATACAAAATGGCGGATCCAACATGGCGAACAAAATTTTTAAAAATTACTTGAATTTGATTAAAAATTGGTACTCGAGAGTTTTTGAGTTCGCTGATTACGAATTCAATTTTAGTTTTTTTTTTAATTCAAAATGGCGGATCCAATATGTCGGATGAATTATAAGAAAAATATTGATTTCAGATTCGTAATCATCGACTCAAGAAAACACATTTTTTAGGAAAAAACAATGATTAAAAAAAAAGTTCGCCATACTATATCTAACATTTAAATTTTGAAAAACTAAAGTCGAATTCGTAATTACCGACCCCGAAAACCTCCGTGTAGAGAGTTTCAAGTGAATTCGACACATTTTTTTGAAAAAAAGTCCGCTATTTTGAATTTTGAAGAATTAACATCGAATTCGTAATTAACGACACCAAAAACCCCTGGATACCAATTTTCAGAAAAAATCCGTACTTAGACTTATTTTTCTCTTCAGCAAAAGTTTTTACTACTACACTTGATTCTTATATTGATTCATTATAGTTTATGTGTTATTTTATTTTTTGTGCAATCAGCTACCTTTATAATTAGTTTCAATTAAAATTATTTTTCAAATGTTATTATATTATATTACTTTACATTATTACGTTTAACTATGTAACTTTGTAGGTACATGCTTTTTGTTACCCATTTTTGGTCCATTTGGACTACGGAAACTGTTTTTGTAAATAAATTCCAATCTGTTTCATTTTAAAACTTCATGAATTGTTTAATTCTTTTAAATTCCAAAATACTGAAGTAAATTTCATTTTAAGTATTATAATAATAATATTTATTTATTTTATACAGAGTAGTGATTTACCGGAAGCAATTTTTGAAACAAATTGGCTTCTTCTTGGAAGAGAAACGAGAAAAAGTCTGCTAATAATGATGATTCGTTGCAAAAAGCCCATTTTAATTTCTATTGGTTCCATTGTATTTGTCAATTTAAATTCTTTTGCATCGGTCAGTATATAATATTTTTAACAAGGATTCTTGTGTATAAACGGCTGAAATATGAAAGTGATTATTAGAAATTTATACACAGTAAACCATATATTTGAATTATACAAAAATATTTCATACAAAAAAAATGAAAACTGTCAAAAATTGATTATTTAATTAAAATTTTTTAGATTCTGAAGGCTTCATATTCGGCTTTTAATGTCTTACAACATTCTATATAACTGTAATTATGGACAATAGATGTTATAAAATCTCATTTTTTTTCTTAAATGTTTATATTAGGGATTTTAAACTAACAATTAAAGGTAAAATTATCCTTCGTAAAAGGTTTTCATTTTTGTTTAAAAATGACACTTTTTAAACTTAATGTTTTAATAATTTAACGCAAAATTATGTATTTTTCGGAGAACAGCGAGATTCTTTGAACCCTAATCTATAATCCCTCAAAATTTTAGCCCAAAATCTTTTTCCATTTTAGAGAAAGTTTGGTTTTCGCAAAACACATTTTTCCATACTAGGTCACGTGGCACAGTGGTCTGAAACCCGGATTTAGCTGGACAAAACCTCAAAAAAAAAAAAGTTTCAAAAATGCTATTTTTACTTGAAGATTACTTAGTTGGGTACTTGATGCATTTAGTTATAAAAGGACAGATCACTAAACTGCATACTTTCGTTGTAACAGAACGTCAAAGTTGTCATGTCAGCACAACTGGAAAAACTGTATAAAGCACAGAAAAATTGACTTCTGTTAAAGGGTCCATTACTTTTGTCTGGAATTTTTTTTGGCATTTGTGTAAAATGGAGGTTGTTACTAGAAGTATATACTTAACGAATTTCTATTTTAAGCAGATTTAATTGGTTTTGATAATTATTTTTAATACTTCCAAGAATTAATATAAGATCGAAGCAAGCGATAAATTATTTTATCGTAATATTTCAAAAAGTTTTTTGCTCCATGGTTCTCCGCTTTCTACCCTTGATAAAAATGAAGGTAAATAGTTACAGAATCATATAAAAGCAAGTTTGGCTGCTACTTTTTGCAACTTTGTTCTGAAACTTCAATTGAGTGACACAAAATGGAGGAAAACGCTTAAAAATGCAAAAATGTGTACAAACATTCCATAATAAATTTAAAGAATAACATTGATTACTGTTTAAGAGTTATTAAAGTCAATAATTACAAATCTAAAGTCAGTTTTCAAAAATTCAAAATGGCGGATCCAATATGGCGGACAGAAAGTTTAAAAAGTTAACGGATTTTAATGAAACACGGTACTTGAAGGTTTTTTGGGTCGCTGATTACAAATCTAAGGTCCGTTTTAAAAAATTGAAAATGGCGGATTGAATATAGCGGACAGAAAGTTTAAAAAATTAACGGATTTTAATGAAACACGGTACTTAAAGGTTTTTTGGGTCGCTGATTACGAATCTGAGATCAGTTTTCAAAAATTCAAAATGGCGGATCCAATATGGCGGACAGAAAGTTTAAAAAATTAACGGATTTTAATGAAACACGGTACTTAAAGGTTTTTTGGGTCGCTGATTACGAATCTGAGATCAGTTTTCAATTTAAAAAAGCTAATTTAATATTTGTACTCAACAATCAGGAAAACCTTCGAATACCATGATTTCTCAAAATTCAATAATTTTTTTATATTACTGTCAGACAAATTAGATCCGCCATTTTGAATTTTTAAAAACTGACCTCAAATTCGTAATCAGCGACCCAAAAAACCTTCAAGTACCGTGTTTCATTAAAATCCGTTAACTTTTTAAACTTTCTGTCCGCCATATTGGATCAGCCATTTCGAACTTTTGAAAACTGACCTCAGATTCGTAATCAGCGACCCAAAAAACCTTCAAGTACCGTGTTTCATTAAAATCCGTTAACTTTTAAAACTTTTTGTCCGCCATATTGGATCCGCCATTTTGGATTTTTAAAAACTGACCTCAGATTCGTAATCAGCGACCCAAAAAACCTCCAAGTACCGTGTTTCATTAGAATCCGTTAACTTTTTAAACTTTCTGTCCGCCATATTGGATCCGCCATTTTGAATTTTTAAAAACTGACCTCAGATTCGTAATCAGCGACCCAAAAAACTCCCGAGTAACAAGTTTCATAAGAATTCATCGAAGCAATTTGGAGAAAACAGTTTTGTCCAGCTAGATTCGGGTTTCAGACCACTGTGCGTGGGAGTTTCTCACATGCCGTTAAATATATTAATTAACTGACCACGTATTTATAATCAGCAGAACATCCCAAAAATTCACGAGTAACAAATTTCAAGTGATTCCATCAAAGTCATTGAATAAATAACCAAATTTGTTTTGTAACCTCTAATATTTAAAAACTTAATTTTTTTAAAAATATAAACTTTTATCCGTGTAATTTTTATTTCATTTAGAAAAGCAGTGTTTTGAACTACAGTGTTTACTATTTTACATTCGCTTATAGCAACAGAACACATTTTCTTCAATATTGTTACTTTTACTTTGCATTAAAAAAATAATTATAAACAAATGAAAATGTAGGAATAATAATATTAATTTAGAAATAAAATCATTTATTTATATTTTTGTTATGTCATATTTATTTAAAATTTAAATTGTTATTAATTTTGCCTAATCTGAACTTACAATTATACCCTATTCTAATTCCTCAATTTAACTTAGTTAAATTAATTAAGTTGGGGAGAGGTTTATTAAATGAATGAATTGAAAAACAATATATAAATTATTTATTTAAAAATATATAAAATATTCTCAATAATTAGTTGTACCCCTTATCGGCACCGCCTACTTTAATATTCTGTTTCTCACAAAATTATTGTTGTCCCATTTTCATATTTACATAGCTCATGGGAAAAAACCTCAGCTTTCCAATGAAAATAAAAAAAAAACAAAAAAAAATTCCCGAGGGGGTGAAAATCGAAAAATAAGGGTTGATTTTGAAAAAAAGGGGTCAAAAAATTTTTTTTTTTAAATTTTGTATACATTTTTGAAAAGTACGTGAAAAATGCATTAAAATTCATTATAGATAAATTAAAATCCATTAACTTTTGTCATAGTTATACGGATTTGAAAATGACAATGTTACCCTTAACGTCAAAACTTCAACCCCCTCTACTTTCTACAAATATTTTTTTAATGAGTTTATATTTTAGGGATTTATTACTATCATATAGGACAACAATTTACCAAAGTATGAAGCCAATCCCAGAACATTGACTTTTTGGGCTGGGGCGATTGAAAAAGAATCTCTCTTATATATTAATATTTTCCAATGTATTTCTCGCGGCGGTACCAGCTCGCCTCTATGGGTTCGATTCAAAATCGGTACCTCATAGACACGCAAAGTGTTTATTGCCTTTTTCTAAGTTTTGGGCTCCGTATGTTGATTTCCTTCTTTTCATAACACAAAATGTCAAGAACATTACATCTTTAAGAAATATTATAATTTTATAGATTGATCATTTTTAATATTAATTACATGATTATTTATTTATATATTAGTAACAACTGTTTTTTAAGTATTAGTTTCAATCATAAATAATTATTTACTTATTTATAAATAATTATCTATTTATAAATATATTTGTTTATTTATAAACAATTGTTTATTTACAAATATATTTATTTATTTAAAAAATTAATTTTAGATAAATATATATTTTATTTATTTATTGAAATTAATTATAAATAATAATTATTATTTTTTTATAAGTTTAAATATAAACTTATAAATGGAATTTAATAAATTAATTCTACACCCCTATTTTACTATAACCATTTTTTTAATAAGAAAAAACTAACATTTTAAATAAAATTTAATAAATGGTAAAAATTTTAAAGCAATAAAGAGGTACGTGTAAAAAATTGAATCCTTGAAAAAATATCGCTTTGTCGAACAATAATAAAAATTTATCATGTAAAAACTCTAAAAATAAAAAATTAATATTAATATATAAAATTTCTGCAACATTGATAATCGGTTTAATGATATTCTGCAAAATTAATATTTTAACAATTTAATATTCTGCAAAAGTAATATTCTACAGAATAAGATTCTATCAAATGATAATTCTAAAAAAAAATTTTGTTTTAGAGCTTTTTCATGCGTTTCGTTTATCAAACTAAATTTTATAAAAAATGTTATTTTTTTATTTAAAAAAATTATTATTAAGGCCATGTGAGACAAAGACACTTTTTGTCCAAAAATTCTTTACCATTTTAGAGAAAACTTGGTAATACGATACCATGTTTTTTTGCATGGGGGTCACGTGGGTATTTCTCACATGGCCTTAACAAGGAAAATTATAAAATTGTTTCCTTCAAAAATATTTTTTTATAATTTTCTGATAAATAAAACCTACAAAAAACATTTTTTATCAAAAAATTATTATAAATTTTTTCATTTTTAAAATTATTTTTTTTAAAATCATTTGTCATAAACATTGCGTACTTCAGCTTTGTGTTTCATCGTAGAAAAACAATTTTTAACTACGTATATATATATATACTACGTATATATTTGTATATTTTAATGCGCTAAGTATGAAAATTATAGTGAAAATATCGGTCAATTTATAGTTTCTTTATGATAAAATATGCAACATAAAACGCAAAATAAAAAACTATAAATTTTAAGTCTTTTTTATGCTTTTCGTAGTGAATATAAAATTTTTGAAAAATCGTATATATAAAGAATAATGTATTTGCAGGAGATTTTCAAATTTTGTTTAAAAAATTTTCAAAAATGTTGTTCATTTTATCCAAGAATGACAAAAAAATAAAAAAATTTCTTTTATATTTTTCACCATGCAAATCAAATTTGCGGGAATTGATACTATGATTTTTTTTTAAATACAATATCAAAAACATCGGAGGTATTTAAAAAAAATACTACAGTACCGTCCAGAAGTATCAGGACGATGATTACACGCGACTCTCTGAAAAAACATGCCATCACTTTTTCAATCATATTTCTGCAACAAAAGGAGATACAAAAAAAACTCAAAAACGGTTAGAAAACTTATTAAATTTTGAATAAAATAAACCATGTTTGAAGCCATTCCGTTAATAATTTTTTGAGTTGTAGAGTGAGAAAGATGGAAAAAATATTATCAAATTTTCTAATTTTGGTCTCTTGACTTCAACATTTTCAAAAATCTAGAAAAATTTAGATAGAATTTTTTTAAAAACACAGAAATTTTCGCTAGAATTTCAGCTTTAAAATAAATTTTAGAAAATTAAAAAATATTAATCCGTCATCGAATTATCATTAAAAATGTGAAGCCGT